GCAAAATCCTTGTAGAAGAAACGAAAATTGTTGCTATAGGTCATAACAAGTTCTTTGGTTTCGGGGGAATTGAGAAGACTCTGGTCAGATGGGAGAACACCCTTTTCCTTGGACCAACTTCTTAAAGTAATGGTTGTCGAATGCATATTCTGAATCTGGAGGATCAAGAGCGACGATCTTGCTTTCAACACTACCATTCGGTGGACAGAGGTTTGAAAGATAAATCACCCAATCTTCGTCCATTAAGGGGTCTGGAGCACCTGTTCCATTGAAGTTGTACAATCTCTCACTGATTGTTGCACAGCTTGTAAACCCAATTCTGTGATCTCCTAAGCATTAACAGTAAAGAGGAATTGGAACCACTTTGGCCCTCGAACTATCAGATTTAATGTTTTAAGCACAAATCCGGAATTGGAACCACTTTGGCCATCGGTTTTTGAGAATCCTTTGCAATTTAAAAAATAAAAAATAACCAAAAACCTTCGTTGTGATGGGCTCCTGTCAGTGATTTTATGAAGCCACTCAAATGGATGAGGAATGTTGTGATTAGCTCCTGTCAGGTTTGCTACAAGGTCATCCCTTCGTCCTAAAGGAACTGTCCAATAAGGACCTCCACTCTGCAAAATAACCACAGTGATTTCTTATTCAACTTAATATTAAGGGGATGCTTGGTTATATTTGATTTTTTTGACTAATCTTATTTAGAAATCGAAAAAGTATGAACAGCCCCAAAACAGATTTTTGATTTTTACTACAACATCAGTCTATGAATTGACATCAATTCCGATCTAGCACCCACCCCAACTGTGCTTTGGGCCTAAATATTCTAACCCTGGGCTGAACCGTCATTCTATAGCCACCATTCCTCTCTCACTATTCTACGAATTAAAACTGCAGCGGGAAACTATCATGTCCTCCCTCTCAAAAGAAAGGGGGTGTTTGACAAATCTTTCTGTGAGGTCTTTGAAACTTTTCAAAGCTTAATTAGAAGAACAAAATTTAGTCACTCTGTTTAATATGGTAATGAAAGACAAGAACCCGGAACGACCTATGCCTTAAAAACCTCATGGTAGCCCAAATTAAATAGCAAAAAAATCCCAAAACTTTAAATGAAGCTTCCTGTCTCCGTAGACCATGGTATCTACTATAATATTTATCAAATGGTCTAGATCTTTAAAGACAAAAGTCCCAAAGGCTCAATATGGCCCCATTTGGCATGTTTTTCGGCTGTTTACAAGTCGGAAAGACTGAAAATTGGTCTATTCCCGTTTGGCACATGGAAGATCTCGCCGCCAAAAAATGAGGTGCCAAAAAGATGCGGAAAGCCCATTTTGGGCTTATTTCAGGAAGCTCCAAATGAAATTTCTCGTGTCTTCCGCGTTTTATTCTTGTGCGAAAAAACCTGAAATGACACACGAAAAGAAAAGATGTGCATCTTACAAAAGTGCTTTTAACAATAAATTAAGTCAGCAAAAATGCTTATGCTTTACAAACTCACGTTTACAAAACAATCATGAAAGAAAAGTCGAAGCAAAGAAGCTCCCATTGCATTTCTTTCTTCATAGCTGTGGTGACCTCATTCCGAACAATCTTGAGCAGAGGTGGGCATGATGAGCTATAGAAATCAGGGCTTAATTGGGACTTCACTGGTATACCTGAACACAGAATCAATAATAATAATAGTGGAAGAAAAGCCCGGCCACTGCAACTGTTGCAGATCCTCATGGTTGTTGCTTGAAGAGAACAATTAACCTGCAATATTAATGGAGAATATGTAGTTATAAAAAATATTGAAGAGGTAGCCCAACCAACTGCAGCAGCAGCAGCAGATGAAAGGGCTCAAGCGAAGAAAACCTACGCCAACTTGATATGTAAGAAGGATCGGTGCTGTGAGGTACGACGGACAGCCGCTGTGGATGGTATTTTGGCTTTATTTGGAAGTACAAACTTGATTCATTAGACCACATTGAGCTGGCTAGCAATATAGCTTTAGTGCAAAGCTGAGTAATTTGGATTTTAAATATTATTATGTTTATCGAATCAACAGCAGGCTGAGAAAACATTAATTAGTGGATGATACAGAAAAGCTAAGTAGCTTTTTCTTACCACTTGGCGTGCACGCGCGCTTTGACTTCATATATTGGCTCTGTATGTTTAATTTTATATATTGATGAGATGATATATCATACGCAGTTGTTCATGGATTTCATCATCAAAATGCATGTTCAGTAATCCATCCTTGACCCGTCTGGGGTTCTTGCTTATGATAGACCAGGCTCCCAGCTGTCCCAGCTCAGGTCTAGTATAATTCACTATAAATCAATCTGGGAAGTTTTAACTTGTTAATGACCACACATCACTTCTCTTATGTGTTCTGTCTATGTCTGAACACCCAGAGAAAGAGAGAGAGGTATGAGAATATAATTCAGTCGAATCAACTTACCTTAAAAGCCTAAACTTAGAAAACCAGGCCATGAATAACAAGTTCCTGGTTGATATATATGGTGGTGCATGCGGTCTTGAATGTTCTGTGGTTAGGAATCATGCAATAATGGATCAGTACTGGTCTTAGCACTAAGATATCTATATCTATAGATAGATAGATAGATATAGATATATGTATTAGTGACTAGGAATACACTTCTTCATGGAAACTAGTTAGGTAGATGGGTGTGAATAATACTTTTATTCATCACGGAGAATTTAATTGTGCAATATATATAGATAGAAGATTTTATATGGATTAAAACAAGCACCATGAGCATATATGGTGCAATAAGATAGTAGAGTTCTTAGTTCAATGTGGATTTCAATTACAATATGGTCTACATCATTCTTGTGTTTTTTGTTTTCTTTATTTAAACTAATATATTTTTCCCTTTTAATAATTTATTACTTATTTTTAAAACTTAAAATCAGATCGGATTTCATTCAGATATCCGAGATCCTGATTGGATTCAAATTCGAATCAATATTTATGAGATCTGATTGGATCTTTGGATCGGATCGGGTTTGGATATTACCCTTATTTGAATCCGATCTCATCTGTTTGCACCCCTATGTAGATGATCTTATTATCATTGGATACGATGGAAAAGAGAATCCATGGGTAAAAGAGAACCTCTCTATATGGTTCTAGAAGAAAGAGCTTGGGGAGATCAAACATTTTCTTGGATTGGAGATTGAAAATGTAGAAGGTAGAATTTTCCTTTGTCAGAAAAATACACAAAGGACCTCCTAGAGAAGTATGGTATGGTCGACAACCTATTTCTACACTGATAGATCCTAATGCAAAGTTACACGCAGAATAAGGTGAAAATCTAGAATATCTAATGCAAAGTTCTAACCATTCCATCAAATATTTTGATTTTCATTGTCCCAACACCCATAATGTCACATGTAGATCTATCACCCAAGGAGATAATGCCCCCATTTTCCTCTCTTGGAACATATCAAATTATTCCTTCCTAGAACAACCATGCAAGAACACCTAGAATCTAAAGCTTAGACATTTGGTGAAAATTTGCACATGCCTTCGGAGATTATGAAAACTCACACATTTTCATTGTCCCCACTCTTTTTCCATGTAATAGAATATCTTTTTATGTGATCAAATGCTTTGCATCTGTAACACCAAACCTTGCTCTTTTCCCTAACCTTCAGTCTAGACCTACCACTCTAAGATCCCCTATCAGATGACCTTACTTTCCAATTCATTCCCTACAAAACCATTATAGAATTTCACCCTCTCTCATACTTAGGCTTCTTCCTAACCTCGTTGAATAGAAGAGATGCAATAACATTTTTCCAATTTCACTATGTCTTTCTTGTATAGTAACATTGTTACCAAGTTTTCATATAAATTAGGAAATGAGGTAAGAAGCAAAAGGACATTGTCTTCTTCCTCCACCTTGACAATAACTTAATTCCCTCATTAATCTAAGATATTGTTGAACATATTTAGGTGTTCTAGAAGATGCCCACCCTCTTCCATCTTTGGCCCATACAATTGCCACTTTAGGTATAGCTATATGATTATGCTTTCTCCCAAATAAAGTTTCTTTATCTTCTCCCACAATTTCAATGTAGAATCTTCCTCCATACCATTAAAAATAATGTTATTAACTTGGAGTAATCAAATTATACTAATACACCTTGACGCCATGTCCAACATCCTTCATGTCTTTTGGCTTTCCATCATTTCCCCTTCAATGCTCTAATCAAGCCTTGTTGAACTAGAATGTCCCTAACCTTTCTTTGTCATAGGGTAAGTAGGTTTTTCCATAAAATCTCTCAATTTATAATTAAAAAGTTATACCTTTCATTGTCATTATCTCTTAAACAATTTCACAAACACCTTGTAAACACCAACTTAGGAGTTCCGATATCACTTTACCGGAGTCTCACAATAACGACTCATAGGATAAAACCACAAGGTATTTGAAATGAAATAATAACAAAAAGTCCAATAGAAACAAAAATTATAAAATCAAAGCAAAGACAAATAAAACAAGTACCACTAAAAACACAAAGAACATATGTGATTTGGCCTTATCGCCTACACTCATGGAAGAGACAAAAATTGTTCTTCACTATGAAAGAAATTGAGAAATAATACAAGTACCATGTGGCTTATATCCTAAACCAACCCTTAACCCTTGTACTTGTTCTCCTTTTGCTCTCTCTATATAAAGAACAAAAACAAGAGGAAAAAAACTCAATTTTACATCAAGAGCACCCTCTTTCTCTCAACCTCTCTCTTTTTCATCTCTAACAAGAAAAAGAGCAACCTTAGTTTTTTTATCTTCTTCTAAACCCTACATACAAAATGAACCTTTATATGTAAAGCCCACCTTAACCTAAGAATGGACCGCACCAACCACACCTACCATTAGATTAAAAACTAATCCAATGGTTGAAAATAAGACACAAAGAATCATAAGCTTCCTCCTACATCACTAACATTTCTTGAGAACCAATCTCCCTACCTTCTTGACTGCCATACCTCCCCCGCCACCTATAATCTCTCTACTTCTTCTCGATAACCCATCATCAATCCTAACTATAAGTACCAGACCTTTTTTTTTTCCTTTTCTTTTTATTTTTGACCCCACTGGGCCCCACTCCGTTTCCTCTTCCCCCCTTTTCCCCTCTCCCTCTTCTTCTTTCCTTTTCTCTTCTCCTCCTCCCTCGACACTTCTCTTCACCCGTATTTCTGTCCAAATCTCCCTCCCTGATTCCGCTCCACCATCTTCTCCTCTTTCTCACCAATTTCCTTCCTTCCGTTCTAGTTTTCCCATCTCTTCCTCTCTCCTCCCATGCCCCCCCCCTCTTTCCATTTTCAGCAGGAAGCCCTAATCTCTTCCTACCAAAAAGCTTTTAAACCCCAAAAGGGAGGCGCCTTGCAAAACAGAGAATGCACCATTGTCTAAGGAACACTTTATCCTCTCAGCATCCAGTTCTGTTTAAATTGTAGCAATCATTCCCTTTCTCTTTCACTTCATTGGGGCAACCACTGTCTCAACCATCCACTCGGCTTCACAACAGGGCTGCAATCAGCCCACCATTGATTCGACATATCAGAGCATAGACGCGAATCCGACATGAATGGGCTGACGAAACACACCTCTGTTCGCTCCATTTGATCTCGGAGAGAAAAGCTTCAACCGATTGCATATTCTATCATCATCGTACTTGCAAAGGGAGAAGAAACCTAATGTTATCTAAACAGGAAAGTACTAAATTCCCTATCTATTGTGATATTTTTTTCATGATCTATTCTGTCTAGTAGAATGATTTGATTAGTTTATCCTTGAAACATCTGAGAAACACATGCCTGATTTGTTCCTTCCTTCATATTAGCAGAATCAGACCCGAATCATTAAAGTCTTTGTTGTCTGAACTAGCTATTTAACTTCATCTAATAAACTGCCATTCATTACTGATTCAATATTAGCATTTAATTTTTCCTGTACAAATCATCTCAGTCTTACCTCATTCTATCACTTCTTGATAATTGTAGCAGTCGTAACTCTCGTACTACTTGGTTAAAGTCTATCTTGTGAATTCTGTTAGACACACAATTGTTATATCTTTGTTTTATTGACTAGTTTATTTAATCTTACTTGATTTCCTCCTCAAGCACTTTAGTCATTATCATCACTGCTCATATTCTTCTTGTTGTTAGCTTGTACTGCTGAATCATTGTGTTGTTGGAGCTATTCTTTATAGCACTAAACCATTATATTTTACTGCTGAATCATTGTCTTGCTGGAAGTATTCCTTATAGCACTAAACCATTATATTTTACTCATAGCTTGTCTCTAGTTTCATTCTTGTTTGTGACATATATCTCTATTGTGTTGGTATTCTGGGTATCTTCTGTACCCCATTCCATCATTCAAGATCATTCTCTTTTGACTGAAAATGAGTTGGGGAGCTCATCAATTTAGAGAAACACTTGGAAATGGAGGTATGAGGATTACTATATTCTACATCTATCCTTAGATGTCACTCCCCTGAATATTAATTTAGGAACTTGAATATCTTTGATTGCTCTGCTCCAAATGAGAAGTCCAAGAGAATCAATATGATTGCAGATAATCTCGTTGGATCCACTACAACAAGACCTCCCAAAGCATCTCCCAACTCTTTAAAAACTGTTAGACACCAAGCAAGAAGAGGAACACCGATAATTCAAACCCACCATCTACCATGATAGCATATGTACTCATGGGCTCATGCATGGCCCATGCACGAGTTCTGCTTGAATGGACTCTAGGCCAACTCCTCTCAAGAGACCAAATCGTATGGACTCTTGTAGATAACCTTTTTATCTAGGATAACCCTTCTTCACATCTAGGATAACTCTCTCCTAGTTTCTATCCTAGATAACTCTCATCTAACCTAGATAATGTAAAACTCTTACTAATCTTATCTCTTGTAAACCTAGTGTAATGGATTCTTTCTCTATAAATAGAATGGCAATTGGCTCTACCTAGGTAAGGTCAGCCAAATTATTTTTTATCAGTCTCATTTATTATTCTTTCTCAGTTATTATTTGTCGTTCTTTTTATTGTTAGTATCTTTTATTTCTTGCTGTTCTAACTTGGTATCAGAGCTATGTCAACCAAAACCGGAACACACGGCAGCAGTCCAACTCCCTCCAACAATGGTCATTTGTCAACGACTAGTTCGCTCCCTTCAATCCAAAACGTGACTCACTATTTACCTGTCAAACTGGGCAACAACAACTACCTATTATGGAATGCCCAATTCCTTCTTATTCCGTGGCATCATAATCTCATGGATTTTGTTGAAGGGAAGAAGAAGCCCTGCCTGAAGTTATTCCAAATCTAGACGGAGTAATGGCTCAAGTGGTAGGTTTGGCAACAACAGCCGAGGTATGGACTTCTCTCATTTGTAGTTATTCTACTAATTCTCGTTCCAAAATTCTGCAGTTGCAACGACAACTGCAAAGTTTCAGAAAGGTAGAATAACTACAATTGCAATGACAATTGCAACGACACACGGAAAGATGCGCATCTTACAAAAGTGCTTTTAGCAAGAAATTAAGTCAGCAAAAGTGCTAATGCTTTGCAAACTCACGTTTACAAAGCAATCATGGAAGAGAAGTCGAAGCAAAGAAGCTCCCATTCACATTTCTTTCTTCATAGTTGTGGTGACCTCATTCCGAACAATCTTGAGCAGAGGTGGGCATTTTCTTCATAGCTGTGGTGACCTCTATCTACAATTGATGAACCTGTTCTCAAATCAGAATTAGTCATCCACATTCTTCCTGGGCTAGGGAGTGAGTATGAATCTGTAGTTACTCACCAGCCGACATGACACAGCTGATCTTGGCATTGCGGATATTCCTTAATCAAGAGAGTTGGCTTGAAGAACAGTCCCACGTCTCTGATCCTTAGAATGCCAACCTTGCCGGTATTACTTCCAAATATAAAGGTAACTTTCAAAAATCTCCACAACAATTTTCTCCGACATCCAATAATAATAGAGGTAGGAAGGCTAAGACAATTTTTTATATTGAATTTTCTCTTAATTATTCAGTAAAGAATTATTCTTCCTAGTAGTTCGATTTCTGTTCTTTTCTTTGAAGCTTTTCTCAACGTGTTTCGTTTTCGTACTACGCCAGAAGAGGATTAGGGGGTGGGCAAGCTAGGGTGCATGTGAGGTCCACTAAACTTACCATGCATAAAGGGACTATAATTACATGGATTTGATCCAATGCCTCCATAGTTAGTGGAATGCCTAGCGGCCATCTTAGCTATCAATTTGGATCTCCTACCTGCAAGAACCTTACCCACACCTACCCACAGGACACTACAGTCACACATTGAGAATATCTCTCATATTTACATGTTACTATTCATGGGAAGATATTCCCAATGTACAGCTCTAGTGTCTTGTGGGTAGGATTCCTGTGCATAAGAGATCTGAATTGCTTAGTTATTTGGTCATTGGCATATGACTTTGCATTTTTGCTAATAGAGTAATTGTTATTGTTTTTAAAAAACAAAACCATACATATTGCTGAAAACCTCTTTAAAAGTTGGTCATTTCAAAACCTAGTTCTGGAATTGGGTTGCAAATTTTCCTATCCGGTAGGGCTGCAAATTGTACCCATATGTCCATATTCAAATAAGATCCGATTATTTGACCCATTGAATTGAGTATGGATCCACTCCATCCGATATCAAAGAAGTCATTTTTAAGTCATTTTGTTCATACTAAAATATTAAAATCATTTGATAATATACAATGTGATGATCATAAGAGTCCATATGAATCTAATGGACATGATTTTGTTCAAACACAAATACTAATGGATACTAGCACAAGGGCATGTGCTATGCATATGTATAAAGGGTAAAGATATAAGTTGATTATATAATCAAATTTAACTTTTATGACTTGCATCAAAACCAAGACAATTATCTATTTTATAATAGTATAAATTAAATGGATCAGATTTGCATATGGGTATATCCAATTTGTTTACAACCCTATAGTATGAATGAGCACACTCGAGTGGATAATGGGGATTTGGGTTCAGTAAAGGTCATATTACATTGCTTGCCTAACATCAAGCTGTATCCACTTAACCATCATGCTTCTTCAGTTGTATAATTGTGTGCATCTATACTGAATACCCTTCATCACCGGGGAGGTAGGGATGAGAAGAAAGATGTGTTTTTTATGGTGAAAATAGAACGGATACAAGTCTCTAGGCTTGAGTGCTGTGAATGGATCAGTTGAATTTAAGGCTCAGTTTAGAACGAGTATAAATACAAATATATACAATACAAATACATAAAAAATAATATAAAATATAAGGTTTTGCGTTCTACATATTTGTATTCGTACTCCTTCCAAATGGACCCTAAGTAGAAGTTTAACCCTTGGACCAAAAGATTTGGTTATGTTTGGTATTAGTGAGATAGGCCCAACCCATTTGACAAAACACAATGAGAAAGGCCAAATGAATATGGAGTTTCTCCTAGTTGCATGTATGATTGGTTTTTTATAAGATGACCCGATCGATCGATCTGTTACCCACAAGAAGTATTTCCAATCGGTCATTGATTTGAATGGTTGAACTGTTTAAACCCTCACGCAGTCTTGATTTCGGCACTGGTTTTCTTTAAATCCAACTTTCAACTAAGTTCTGACCTAGGTGATTGAATCATTGACCCATTTGACCTAGTCACTAGATTGCAAGTTACAAACTACAACTTCCATAGGTCATAAACTTGTGCTCATATTGTCTGATTGGGATAATCCTGATATTGATTTGGGCTGCGTAACTTTCCAATATCTATGCGTCCCAAGAACCGCAATATATACATATCTATTCAAGGTATGTTTAAGTCAATTACCGAAAACTCAAAGTATTGTTGGATTTTAATCTCATAAGAGATTAAATCCAATGGGTTTGATTGGTCGATTACATGTGAAATTGCACTTGCATATTTGTTTGAAAAATTAACTTTTTTTCTTACAAAACCTAGTTTTGAAATTGTCCCACATTGGAAAATTATAAGCTTTGTTTTCAGTATTTTAATAATAGTTGATTTACACTCCTTAGAAATAATAGAGGAGAGTATGGAGGTTTGATATAGTGTAATGCGCGTGTGTGCAGCAATGAGGCGCTTTAGAGGCGCACTTCGCGGTGACTTTGGTTTTGGTGCGATGCTGACCATTGATCATCGTTGATGAGATCAACGGTCACGATTTGATCGGGTGTGATCAAGAGGTACAATTCAAAGTTAACAGTCATTAACTATTAACTACTTTTTAAACAGTCACAATGTTTGAAATTGTGACTGTTCAAGGTGTCTTCTCTAAACCAACACTTACCTTTTCTTCATATCTCTTCATAAACTATTTAAGGAGCATGAATCAGACTTCAAAAACATACGTTTTTCGAAATCTACTTTCTCTCTCTCTCTCTCTCTCAGTCCAGTCTGCTACAGTCTCACATAAGGTTTTTTCGGAGATTCTTCAACTTTGTTGGTTGTAGATTTTCGTCCAAGGCTCTGTTGTATCATGGGAATGGATTTTGCCTATAACCCAACAGCAAATTCAGTGAAATTGAGTGGGGGCAAATAACGTTTTAAAGACGGTATCTTCAGACGTGTCTTAGAGATTCTCCTCCAAAGTTATAGTGACCCCATTTCYCAGCAGGTATGTTTAAGTCTATTTTACCCTATAATTTATATAGAAAATTATATATAAATTTCAGATATAAGAACTACAATTTATACATATACATAAGCATAACAATATATATGTAAAGATTTAGCTTGTTCATACGTAAGAACATTTATGAAATGGGAAATACACTGACTTCATTACATTTGAAAACACATAATTACTTGAGCTTGATTCAGACATAACTTAATTCTACAAGAAATGCAATACCAAAGCATTCAAAGAGAGAAGACTTCAAGGGCTCTGATGGGTGTGGCATTTAGTTAACTACACTGCAGTTATTACGTATTTGTCCATTTGTCCCAGTTAGAGGACTTATGTTCCCCATTTTGATCATTGAATTGACAAAATCCTGGAAGAAGAGCTTAGAACTGTTGCTGTAGCTCTCAACAAGTGCTTTGGTTGTGCTTCCGGCCTGAGAACTAGTATTAGAGAAAAGATTTTGGTCTGAAAAGAGAAGACCCTTTGCATTGAGCAAGTTCTTGAAGTAATGGTTGTCAAATAAATCAGTTGAATTGCGATCAAGAGCGGTGGTTTTGTTGCCATCACCACTCTGTGGGCAGAGGTTTTGCAGATCAGTCACCATATCTGTGTTCATTGTGGTGTCTGGAGCACCTGTTCCAGAGAAGTTGAACAATCTCGTACTGAAGGTAGCACACCTTGCTAAGCCGATTGTGTGACCACCTACAAATTGAACAAAGTAAGCCACACTTAATTATCAATTACATATCTCTTTAATCAATTATATTTCTAAGTTAAACTTAAATATATTCTAAACATAAAATTAATGAGGCTAACCATCCACTGTGTCATGATCATCCTTAATCTATGAACCATGCAAGGGAATTTTATTGGACTGGATCATTCATATAATTTGGATGACTTAGATGATGATGATTAGGGGTGAATTCGATTCAAGTCGAGTCGAATATTTAGTTATTCGAGCTCAGCTTGTAGAAATAGTGTTAGGTTCGAGCTTGATTCGAGTTAGAGACTTGAGCTCAAACTTGATTCGAGCTAGAGACTTGAGCTCAAGCTTGGCTAGGTTCAATAGTTCGCGAGTTCGAACTTGACTCAACTGCAAGATAAGCTTTTTCTAAAAAATAAAAATTATACATATAAAAATAATTTATTATTATACATACAAAAAACAAGAATTGTAAATATTATTTACTATTATACATAAAAAATAATATATATAATAAAATTATTTATTATATGTATATATAAAACAAAAATTATTTATTTATTATACTAGGCTTGATTAGGCTCGCGAGCCTCATGAGTCGAGCTTCATTGGGCTCAAGCTCGGCTTAATTAGAAAATGAGCCTATATATTAGGCTCAAGCTCATGAGAAGCTCGGATCGTGCCCACCCCTAATGTTGATGATGAAATTATTTCCTATTTCTTAAAATTTTCCTTAAATTTTTAATTGAACAAATTAGATAATTGAACCAGACGATTGGACTGGTTGACCCTTGACCCAGTGATAATTAAAAAATGATGAACATACTAAGTGTTTGTTTGGTTCGTAATCAGAATCGGAATCGAAATTGGAATGGTCCATTCCCATAATCTGTTTAGTTTAGATAGGAATGAGAATGGGAATTAAGGGAGGGGCATGGAATGGCCATTCCCTCAAATGGAGGAATGCCATTCCAGCAAGAATGGGAATGAGATTCTGATTCCACCCAACCAAACAATTGAAATCAGAATAGCCCATTCCAATTTTGATTTCAGACCCCTATTCCCACGAACCAAACAGGGCCTAAGATCCATATATAATATAACGGTTTGATTGGTTTACAATCGACATTAAAATTGGTCAGAACCAGAATCAGAATCGGAATGGTCTATTCCCATAGTCAATTTGGTTTCAGACAAGAATGGGAATATAATGGGAATTAGAAGCAGCTAGAATGAGATTTCATTCCTTAAGGGAGGAGGAGGGAATGGTCATTCCCTCAAATGAGAGAATACCATTCCACTAGGAATGGGAATGGAATTCTATTCCACCTAATCAAACTGTTGGAATCAAAATAATCCATTTTCAGATCCCTATTCTCGCTAAACCAAACAGGCCCTGAGATATTGATTGACAGTCTGGATTACAAAAACGGATGAACACCTTATAATCCGATCTTTAAATATGAGATGGATATTGCAGTGAATGAATTTGGGAAAATCAAAAGGAAAAAAGAAAAAGAAAACTCGTTGTACGCTGTTAAACAAAAACATATATAGGCCGGATAGTACCTGATAAGGACACAACGTCTGTGAGGTTGAGGCCTACAGCAGCAAACTTTGCAGCGATTTCATCAACCGATTCAAATGGAGAAGGAAGACCATTATTGGCCCCTGTCTGGTTTGCTACCAAGCCATCCCTTCGCCCTAGAAGAACTTTCCATGAAGGTCCTCCACTCTGCAAATTAATCAGAGTTCACAGATCTGCTGTAATTCACTCTTAACTCTTGCTTATATAGTGATATCTTCTTCAATCTGTAATTCTCTCTCTCTCTCTAGTTATATATATCTTACTATCATAGCTAGTCTCAAAGAACCATTCAACCTAAAAGCTTAAGCTGTTAGGTGAGTCCTTTGATAAATTTATATTTTCTAACACGCCCCTTCACATGAAACTATGAAAGCCCATTGGGCTTTGAAATGTGAACAAGTACAGGCCCGCCCATACCTTGTGCTGAAACCTAATTAATTATAATAGAAGTAATGAGGATCGAACACTAGAACACTTGGTCAAAGTGACTCTGATACCATCTCAAATTAAAGGATGTAATATGATGATAATATGCAACTAGATATAAAGAAAAAAGACATGAAATATATATATATATATATATATATATATATATATGAACATGTAAAAAAAAATGTAGATATACTTACTAAGAGAACGGAATCTCTTGCGGCTATAGCTAGTATATCAGCACATGATACCACTCCAGGGCATTCACTCTCTACGGCACTCTTAATTGTATCAATAACATCAAATCCTCTCGCTGAGTTTAAGTTGGGAACTGCTAATTTCTCACTATCACTTCCATCCAAGAGAACAGATGCATCGCATCCCTGTAAGTATATATACGAGTATGAATATAAGAAGAAGAAGAAGAAGAAGAAGAAGTTGATAGGCGATACAATATTGAAGCAAATGATGGTGGCCATGACCATGACCATGAGTAGAGGAACCAAAGTACTTTTTAGCAAAGAAAACATGAAAAACAAATAAAGTCAAATTATCTACTAAAGAAGACACACTCAAAAGAATGTGTCCCTTTTAACTTTTAGACACAACCAGGGAAACCTTAGAGTTTACATGGTGTGTGACTTTGTGCAACCTTTGCAAAACCTTAAATAGCTAGTTAGCTTTCTTTCAAGGAAAAAAAAAGTGCTTTTCTTAATTAGCCTTAAAATGAAAAAGCTCTTTAATTAATTAATTAATTGAATCTCTTGTTGTAGATGAAATAATTTGGTCACATGCATAGAAGATCATTTAGCTAGGGCAGAACCCGTTAAAAAAAGTGACCTGTTACAAGTTGATGAAACCATAAGAACTAAGGATAGACGAAAAAGACTGACTTGGGTGAAAGTAATAAGATATGATTTAAGTACTCATAATTTCAACAAAAAGAATAAGTGTTAAATATGGCACTCAACAGGATTCATGTAACTGACTCCATATAGATAGAACAAGGCTTAGATGATGATAATGATGAATGTATATGCATAAATGCCTCATGCATGGGAAGAATATTGTCATATATGTATGCCCATTTTAAGTTACAAACTCACATTTACAAAGCAATCATGGAAGTGAAGTCGAAGCAAAGAAGCTGCCATTCGGATTTCATTCATGATAGCTGTATTGACCTGTTTCCGAACAATCTTAAGCAGATTTGGGCATGTTGAGTTATAGAAATCAGAGCTTAATTGGGACTTCACCGCCACACCTAAATGCATAAGCAGTACTACTACTACAAGCAAACCTCGGCCACTGATGGAACTGTTCCAACTCCTCATGCTCGTTCGTTGCTTATGGACTTTCCAACAAAGAGAGAACAAAATGGAGAGATGTAATTAAAAGCTGAAACGAAGAGACGACCCAAGTCAATAATATCGATGTGTTGCGATCAACATCCTTCGACGAGGATGTATTTATAACCAAAACTGTACTACTTGATGGAATTAATACTTTATTAAATTAATGTTATATTAAGCCGTCCCACTTCTGAGAAGATCAGTGCTGTGAGGTATGGTGGCCGCTGTGGATGGATATATGGTATTTCACTATTTTGGCTTTATTTGAAGCACAAACTTCACTAAACCACGTAGCTTTAGCGGAAAGCTAAGTGATTCGACACCCAGGATAATTGAGAGAGATTGGTGACGATATAATCGTTATCAGATCGATCTTGATAATAGCATCACCCATGCAAATTCTCAAGTGCATGAACCACACAGCACACTGAGAATGAGAAGGGCATCAGGGATCACTACTAGTGCTTACAGCTTACAGGATGGAAAAGCTAAGGTACGTAGCTTTTTCTTACCACCTTGCGTGCACGCTTTTGACATCATTGGCTTTGTGTGTTTTATTAATTAATGTGATGTATTGTTCTTGATTATTAAACCTGATTGTTAAGTAATGGACTTCGCCAAAATGTCCAACAACTCTTGACCCGTCTGTGGGAGTTTTGTGAATGAACACATGAGAGAGAGAGAGAGAATTCAGTGGATAAAACTTATCAGAAGTTAATCACCTATCTTCTATAAATAAGCCTACTGTAGTGTCAATGGATTTGAGTTGAACAGATAAGTGCTTAGCCTAGTTCAACTTTGGTTTGGGTAGAAGAAAAGCGTTTAGATCTAAGCCCTAGCCTGGCTCAAAATAGTTGGCTTGCTGGGGTTGGCCAACCCTAATGGCCTAGTCAAAATCAGGTCATGTTGCAAGTTCTTGGTTAGTTTAAATCATGTATGGTTTTAAAAATCGACCTGGAAATGAAACCACTTTGACCACCAATTCCTGGGTCAAATGGCCTGATCATCGTCGAACAGTTCTTGGGTCTAAAATTGGACTCCAGAGTCATGACCAACTCCCAAGTAATGGCCCAACCGTCTGGTCTAGTCTTATTTTCAAAAACATGGTTTGAACTTTAAATTGAGAACAAGATCATATTGATCCGGTTCGATCTTAAGAAGTGCCCAATCATGAACCCCCTCAAATAAGGGTGTCAATGGACCGGTTTTGGATTGGACCCCGTTCAGTACTCCAAAATCAATTTGTATGGATTGCACGAACCAACGAGATATATTGGATTAGACCAATCTGGTCCAAAATATTTATTAGATTGGATTGGACCTAGTCTGCCCATAACAAATTTATATTGGATTGGGTTAGATTAAGCCAATATTTGATCTATTGATATAAGATAAGAATATATGTATTAATGGACCGGGTTTAGATTGAAACCAATCTAGATCAAAATGAATTTGAACAGATTGGATGGTCTAGACATTAAATTGGATCAATCCAAATTGATCCAAAACATTCATTGGATTGAATTAGACCTGATCCATTTATAATAGACTCACATTGGACTGAAGCAGATTGAACCAAATCCAGTCTAATTGACACCCTTACCCTCAAAGTTGGAATAGTGGTCCACCAAACAATTCCAATGAAGGAAAACCAGGTGGCTTAGAGTGGATTGGCCGGTTGGAAATTGCAGTATGGACCACTTTATACAATAAATCTGACCAGTCTCACCACTAAGATATTTATGAGGAGTGAGTAGGAATGCACTTCTTCCCGTCGTTTAGTATAGCTTTTTCTTCCACCGCCTAGTTTAATTCTAGCACAAATAGTTCAGGGCTGTTATAGATATCCTCTCTTTGGGTTTTTATTTATTTATTTTGTTAGAATTGCTGGTAGCTTTTTGTTCTTGTTTTTTTTTTCCCTAGCCCTTTATCCTCGTGCGTTTATTCTTTGTTTTTTCTTTAATTAATAAATTTTTATTTTATTACAGAAAGAATGGATATCTTCCTAGGGTTTCTCACAATTTAGTGGCTCCATTGTATATAGATGACAACATAAGTGACCGTAGGCATTGAACATGTGTTTAATTATATTCAACACGACACCACCCTTTATACTGATCCTTCATCTAATGGTCATACTTAAAAATAAATGATTCTTTATAATTGGCTTATTTAGATCCAAATCTAATGGATCTAAAAGTATAGTCACAAAAAAAAATGTTTTGGGGGAAGGGTAGTAGGGGTGGATTCGAGTTGAGCCGAGCCGAATATATGGCTATTCAAGCTCAGTTCACAGGAATAGTATCAGKCTCGAGTTTAAGCTCGATTTCAATTTGAGCTTGAGACTTGAATTCAATCTCAGCTCGGTTCATAGCTTACAAGTATAAGCTTGACTATAAGTCAAGTTTTTTTTTAAAATAAAAATTATATGTATAAAATTATTATTTTTTATTTTTTAGACAAAAAATTAAGAATTATAAAAATTATTTACTATTATACATAAAAAATAAAAATACTATATTAATAAAAATATTATTATATATTATAAAATTATTTATTATATATATGTATGTATATAGCAAAAAYTATTTATTTAATACTAGGCTCACGAGCCTCACAAGCTGAGCTTCACTAGGCTCAAGCTCAGCTTGATTAGAAAATATGCCTATATATTGGGCTCAAATTCAATTCGAAGCTTGGTTTAAGCCGAACCGAGCCGAGATCGAATAGCTCGTGAAAGGCTCAGCTCGTGGCCACCCCTATTTGCTAGTATGCATGTGATGCATCAAATCTTTATGCTTCCATGTAAGATGCCACCAACTAAGAAGACTAGTCATAGATTGTTTCTTATGGACCCATCACCAATGGACTTCTAACACTCATTGGTTTATATTTGTAGAAGAAACATTTTGACAGTTTCAATTGAAAAGAAAAGTCACATTTAAACTCAAAACATAGGTGACACTAATGTAGCAACATTTCAAGTAGAAACAGACACAATACCAAACAATACCATTATCATTAATCTAGAAATAAAAGTTTAGAATCATCACAAAGGTGCTAATTTTAGAGTGATCCTTGTGTATGACCTAACATTCACCTAATAAAGGGAAAAAATGGTCGGGAAACGAAGAACAAGTTAATTGCTTAAACATACCCACTTCATGCATTCAATCCTTTGATTCTTCTAAGTAGTAGGAAATTAAGGCTGGTATATTTTTTTATGTTAATGCATTGATTATGACAGATTTGAGGAGGAAGAGTGTCAGTACCCAATTTTTGCTCAGTCCGTTGCCTAAACCTCCAAATTACCCTTAATGCCTGATCAAACCTTCCATATCTCTCTAAAACACCCAAAAATCCCAACTTTTAGCCCCAAAGCCCCTAAATTCACCATTAAACCCATCCAATAACAATCCAATGGCCTCGATAGACCCTCATGTACACCTCAATCCTCAAATCAGACACCACCATTAAACTTAAGACCTCCCAAAATACCTACCCAACAAATTTCAGCTCAAAATTCATTCATTTACCCTCTCATCAAACGAAGATTCCATTTTGACCCCTCTCATTAGCCTGAAACAACTACAACCTAGATCCCCTTGATCTTAATACATCCAAACCAATCAAACCACATCATTAAAATCGAGATACATCAATACACCTGTCCATAAAGTTTTAACCCAAGATTCTCATGTTTGTCCTTTTATCCAACCAAGATTATATTTCAAAACAACCTATTGACCCAAATTCCTATTGACCCAAATTCCTACGATCTTGACCCTCCAAGACTAATTAGACATCACCATCAGATCCTGGACACCTCCAAATACCTACCTGTAAAATTTCAGCCCAAAATACCTTTGTTTACCCCTACATCGCACCTCAATTCTGTTTTGAGACTCCTGATTGACCGGATTTCAACTCCTTCCAATCTGGGCCCAGATGGCCCAATCTGATCTACCAATCAAATCAGCACATCCAAAAACCTCATCCTGCTAATCAACTTGGTACATCTAGAAACCCCATCCTACCAAATTTCAGTAAAAAATATCCATATTTACCCATTCATCAAAACAGATTCATTTTTGCCCAATCTTATTAACCCATACATTAAATCCCCTCTTTGTACCCAGACCTATCTTAACCCTTCAAATTTTGACCCAAAATCCTAGCTATCCATCCAGGAACCCCCAGTCTGATCCCCTTAGACCCGGTTCAACCAAAAATACCCTGGTTTTTGAAATTATAAAAAACCCACCAAAACCATAAATTACCAAAATTCCCCTTCCCATTATAAAATCTAATCTATAATTCTTATTTAGCCTAATTCAAAAGAAAGCACTATTCATCTTCTTCTTCGAACTAAAAAGAGGCGACGACAGTGGTGAAGAATCTGAGCTCCTTTCTTATTTTCTCTTTCTCACTATCTCTCCTCTCTTTTTTTCTCTTCCCTTTCTCTTTCTTTCTTCCTTTTCTTCCCCTTCTTCCTCCTCCCCCTTTACCTTGTTCTTGGTTGATTGAGATCACGGTCACTACTACGGCTTCCAATAATGATGGCAGATCTCCTCTCTTCTTCTTCTTCTTTTTCTTCTTCTTCTTCTTTCACCATTGGATCTACCAAAATCCTAAAGAGACATTGTTCGTCTTCTTCCTCCTAACAAGCACAACAGCAGGAGAATGATTGATTCAACACTTGGGCTTCCCTAACCCATCGTTAAGCCATTGTTTTGTTCATCGGCTAAGTAGTTGGAATGTGTACCACTCCTCCCCCACCCCCCGGGTTGGGCCTTGTCTTCAAGGTGATGTCCAGCAAACTAATTCTAGATGTTTTCCCAAATCTTCCAAGTTGCACTTGCCTCTGATGTCCCCTCCTGCTGAATAGCTTTTTTGCCTCTCTTAATCATACATCTATTTAGAAGGGCAAAGGGATGGGTTTAAGTACTCCTGTCTTTGAGAGGGGAGGTAGAGTGTGGCTGGAAATATGTTGGGGTCCCAATTTCTTCTTCAGCCAACTGACATGAAACACTAGGTGAAGCCTACATCCTTCTGGTAGATGTAGTTTGTAGGCTACTATGTCGATCCTATAAAGCACCTTAA